TATGCGAATATCTGATCTGGTTATTTGAAATTTTTGTTCCAGGATGATAGCAGTAATTACATCCGAACCGTCCATTGAATTGTGTCATGTTGATAATTTTGCTTTTTCCTGGTACATCTGCAATAACTGCTGCAACTCTGAATTTGTAATTAGTTCCATCGATTACCAGCCCTTCGGAATATAAATTTTTCAGTTCCTGAGTAAATGCTTTGAGAAACACGGCCATTGGCGGGCTTCCTTGGGAGAGCCATATTCCAGATAGAATCATGTTTCTACGAGCGAACCGTTTGTCTCTCGGCAGATCATTTATAACTAATACAATAGGCCACATACTTTTCTTCACGTTTGAATTTGCTGTTGAAACTCCATCTACTGAAAAGCTTATACTCAACATATGTGCATCGTCGTCTTTCAAAATCCTTCCGGCATGGATATCCGACAGAAGTTCGGAAGTAGAATTATGTTTAGTTTTAATATCATTTATTGTGTCTTGATGTTTTTGCACTACAGTTCTCAGCTGGCTTTTTAGAGGAAGGGTGACGAAATATACCCTTTGATCATCACCACAGCATGGACATATGCATATTTCTTCCGGATTTAGAAAATAATATTCACAGCTACGACAACAAAAGTGTTTAGTATAGGCGTTAAACTTAAACGCGTTGGAAAAACCATAATATGTATCAGGGAGACATTCAGTTCCAATTATGACATTGAGCATTTTGAGTAAATCAGTTACTGCTTCAATGGAAATATTATGCCTTATAAAAAAGCACAACACCATATGCATTATGTCAAGCTTAGATAAGCTTGTCAGTTTATGTAAAGGTTCATCTATGTTTCGAGGGTCGTCCTGAAAAGAGAAATTAAATGTTATAACATTATTACACTCTATTACACTTAAACCCTTAATTCCTTTATTTAACGTCGGTCTCTGTTCCGCAGTCTAGTGCCAATCACCGACGGACACCGATTGGCGTCGACGACAGCTCTGTAACTCTTTACTCCTATGGAGAAATCCCATATGTAACTGTCAGTCTATGTGTGAAACATGGCGGACTTTTTCTTATTCTCTCACTCCAACGCAAAACCACATAAGGAACTGTCAAAATGTGTGTGAAGAAACGTCACTTCGGGACTGGTGTCAAGGCGAATTCAAGGGGGGGAGGTGGCTGTCAAATACGAACAATCGTTGCCTACCTCGCATAGCTGGTTCCAAACGTAAACAAGCCATAAGAAACCTATAGCGTTTGTTTACGTTTGGAACCAGTTTCATAAAAGAATGATCAGTAGGCTGATTTGACAGCACGTCCCCCCCCCCCCCCCCCCCACAGGGCGAATTGCCATCCATTGACGACAATCGAATGTACAGAGAGGCAGTTTCCACACCGGGACCAACGGCTTTACTGCCCTTCCGAAAGACCGAAGGAAGACGTGACCAGAGATTTTTATGCCTCAGAAAAATCCCACCGACTTCGGCTGAGATTGAACCCAGACTCATTGGGGTTAGAAAGCAGTCACGCTTACCACTACACCACCGGTGCCGGCAACTCTATTACACTTGTGTATCTTATGTTTTTTTGAGAGTTGAAAAAAAGTGAGCTAGATCTAAATAAATAAATGTCAGGAATCAATTCGGCTGATTTTGATAAAAACTCCAAGCAATTATCTATCTAAAATGATCTGGGCTCCATGTTAGAAGCCTGACAACTAAGCAGCAAGGTAGAAATTGACAAAAGATAACATAAATAGGGACTTGACCTAGGCAAACTTTAGGGAAGAAAACATAAACAAATTATTCAGAAATTAGAATTTCAATCAGAATCAACTTGAAAGATTCCTTCGACTTGACCAGGAATCGAACCCGCCGTGCCTTTACTGACTAGGCTGAGGCCCCCGATACAATGACTCAACCTGAATTTCAATCTAACCTTTAACAAAAATCAGAAAATTGATCAAAACATACGGGGACCTTACTCGACGCACTGTATCTCATTCTAACTACTCAAATAAAATATATGTACTATAGAATTTTCAAAACATTCTTGAACAAAGTCATTTAAATCAAGTAATTAGAATTAGAAGTAAGCTTACTTGAAATTTCAGCTGGAAACAATGTGACATTTTTTTGGAGTGTATGTTGTGCTTGCGACACAATAATACTAAATGCAAAAATGATACAGGCTTAGACAGCTATCAATTAACAACTGAGGAAGTGAATCTAGCACACTAAGTTGAGGGCCGGCGTAAAGTCCCAGTAGGGAAGTAATAAAGCCAAAAGAGGAGTATACTTGGCCAACTCGCTTTAAGGTTGTGTTCATAGTACCCATCCCGCACGGTAACCATAATACCAGTCCCGCACGGTAGTCTAGTAGAACCATCAAACATATGTTTCACTTACTTGAATCGTTGTATTCCGGTCAGAATAATTGTATTCAGAATTGTTCAAATCTGTACAATGATCTGGCACCAAACACGTCGCTTCAATATTAACTTCATCATTGCAATGTTGTTGTACACGCTAGAAAATATAATAAAATTGCGGGTCCCTCATAAACATTTACAATAAATTTATTTAATAAGAATAACACACCGAGAGAGTAGAAGGTAATTTCGAAATAAAATCCATAGTTTTCAGAAAATTCCTAAACTAGAAAAAATCTAGGAAACAATACTATTATATTAAATATGACTAGCAGACTAGAATATAACATCGATATGATTTATGCGAGGATTTATAAAGCTCTTAAGTAAGCTTTAGTAAGAGCTTTAAGGATTTATAGTCTGGTGCTGCAGGCTCCAGACCATAAATCTTTAAAGCTCTACTAAAGCTTACTTACTTGCATGAATTCTACAAGAAATTGTAACATCAATGTATTTCAGATAAGAACTCCTTGTATTTTTAGTACGCTATCAGTTCTGGTGGTAAACAACCTAGACATTATCCTTACCTGAATGGTAGCAACACATTCAGAATCTTGATCAGAATGATCTTCGATGTGTTCTGAATTTATTCCGACATATTCCTTTCTAAACATCGAGTTGTTATTGCCTATATGAGCAACTGGATGTATACTCTAAATATTACGGATAGAAAGAACGTTATATAGGTAAGCACAGTAGAAGCAGTTGTTAATTGTAAAATAATTACCCTTCGTTTTGTCTTTCTCAGGAGCGCAATGTAATTTGGATAAGCAATTCGATTTCGCTTCATGTTGAGTTATCCCCAGAGAATACAAACAATAAAATTGAAATCAGTTACCGATTAAAAATCTTTAGCGAACAGCTGTATTTATTTTCCCGTTTAATAAAATATTCCAACATCGGATAGCTGAAACTGGATAACAACATTTCAAAAGAGCGAAACTTCTTTAATAATTAATGGCTCCAGTCACCGATTAATCACGAATAAACTCACTATTCTTTAAAATAAATAAAACTATAAACAGGTAGAATACTGTGTTTGCTTGTGTGACCTTTGGTAAGTATGAACTTGACTGTTAAAGCCTGGGTTAATGGGGTTAATGCTTGAGTTTACAAAAACAATTTCGCCCTATTGGAGCACATGTTTTATACCTTTTATACGCACTCGTTGGTACACCTGCATCGATGTGCACTATCTACAGGTGAGGAAGAAGGAAACTAATCGACTCTTTCATACACGGTATTCTTATGCAACAACAGGCATGACGTCACGTCTATTGCGAGAACGAAGGCACCAACTCGTTTTCTTCCACCTCACCCCACATCGCACGCTCGGTTGGAAGTTGATTGAGGTAAGTTCCAACCGGTATTATCCTCGAAATATATTTTGAACAAGAATGTCCGGCTGCTTTGATGTCGACATCAGATTTAATCAACACGACTCTAAGCAAACATTTTGCAGGTTATCCAAACAACGAGTTTATCCGAGTTGGAGTTAACCGCCATTGACCTTTCTGACGTTTATAACACGCACACTTGCGTAATCCCATTTTCAAGTGCGAATTTTGTTATCCTCACTTTCGCTACAGGCAAAAATGTTGGTTTGTTATTGTTAACCTCACTTTCGCACCTTGAATACTCGTGCGCATAGAAAGGCTAATGAAAGTGGCTTGCAGTGCAGTGATGCCTGCTTTGCAGATTTTTGTGACATTATCCATTGCAAATAAACACAGCAAAAAAAGTTGTTGAATATTACATCGAAACTGCTGCAACCAGGTCAATCCATCGGTTGTGTAATATCACATTGTACGATGTACATCGATTTTGCGAACAAAATTACATCCATTGATGTTATATTGTATCTGCTTTTTGCTATTACATCATTATTTCATACATCAGCTTGAATTACGTTGATTGATATTACATTTTTTTTTTGTGTAATGCGCATCGCGTATACAAAACGAGAGTGAAATCGGTTGTCACGTGTGGGATTTTCAACTACACAGCAAAAAAAAATATGTAATATTGATCAACGTAATTCAAGCTGATGTATGAAATAATGATGTAATAACAAAAAGCAGATACAATATTACATCAATAGATGTAATTTTGTTCGCAAAATCGATGTGCATCGTACAACGTAATATTACACCACCAGTGGAATGACCTCTGTGCAGCTGTTTGGATGTAATATTCAACAACTTTTTTTTACTGTGTAGGTTTTCAATTAAACGACAATATTAATTCCAAGGCAAATGAAGAAAACCATCTGGCCACCCTGCATGAATATGGTTATGTTGTTCTCAGTTTTAAAGCAAAGCTCTATACATTGCTGTTGCTTCATTATATACTAAAATTGTTCAGAGTGTAGATATCAGATGAACGTTTTGTTACAAACAACTGATGTTGACCTGTCAATGACTCGCGTTATTTGCGTTTATCAGCTGAACCGCAAAAAAGAAAACAACAGTTACTTTGCCTCATACTGCTCTTGCCTTGCCGCAGTTAAAAGTTAGCGTCTAGCGTGGCGTAATTGAATTTTGTTTAATCCGTGTATAATCTGTCGTTTTGTGAACATGAAGTACTGTGTGATCCAGTTTAAAGATGGGTCGAAAAAAGTAGTGCCGATGAGTTGGATATACTGTGAAAACGTGAAAATAAATAAAAAATATCCGACATTTTTTAACACGGATATGACGAAAAAGGCTCCGGAGAATCCGGCCATGTTGAAAACATACAAGGAGGGTGATCGTGATAAGTGTAATTGTTTGCACATAGTTTATGTTGTTAACATTGCAGGTATGTTTTGGTAGCAAGTACATCTGGTTATGTAAATAATTTAATTTACATATTTAATTATCATAGATATTGCCTGTTTCTTTAGAAATTCCCGAAATAAAAGCTACACTGATAAAGTTCTACACATTTTTATTGACGAATTTCCATGCGAAATTCCACATGATTTTCATGTGGCCACACATAAACAGAATTCACTCGGAAGTACACATGAAATTTATGAGTCAACTCAATAGTATGTTTGGTCACACATGGTTTTTATGTGTACACATATTAAGTATTAGAAATACTCAGAGAGAGGGATGGGCGGAGAAAACAAGGTACAATTCGTCAGCAGGGTTTTGTATGTATTTTATCTTGCAACCCTTGCTAGAAGCTAGTATTTCACATGAATTTTCTTTTTGATTCGCAGCAGATTTAGGATCTGATCGATTGCGATTTGTCGGAATACCGTGATCACCTGGGTGCAGATCGGGTAATGCACAATGAAGAATGACCCAGATTTTGGTGCACCGCTGGCGTCAACTGAGTCTTTTGATTCACGGTACCATTTATGAGCCGGTTAGTGTTGCATACCCGCATAAACGCGAACCATAAATTGACCTTACCTAAAATGGTTAAAAATTGTTTATAATCCTTGCTAAACTTTAACTGAAATGGTTATGGAACTTTACATGAACGTTTAATGATAAAGTTTCAACCTTATGTATTATGGTTTTTTGGAACTGGACCTTACAAATAATGGGTTGTTAAGAACCATTACCATTCCAAATTCTTGTTTTCTCCATACATTTTACATAGGCATCTTTTAACTTTTTATGTAATTTTATTATGTGTTTTTGGGAAGAGTTCAACCGAAAACCAGCATAAAATTTAAACATGGAATTTATTTGTAGATTCCTGGAAAAGTAAGAGAATTTCATTTGGGCTTTTGAGTTGCCACCCTGAAATTGTAGATAAACAATTAATAATTCCGTTAGTCGACGAAAGTGCCTCGAAAGATCTTTTTCATGTTGTCACCCAGTTGAATCGATGTGAAGGTCCTTTCGTTAAGGTCCCTTTTAGCTGAGTCTCAATCAATTTTATTGCACGAACTCAAATGTGAGCTTAAATGTGTAGTAATCAATATGTAGTTATTTGCTGCTATACAATGAATACAATTACAATACAATTCAAGGTAAGCCTTTTCAGTACATTTTGTGAGAATTTATGTAATTTTGGACCTACAGGTGGATGCTTCAATTCGATACTGATAGGATTTTAAACTTTCCACTATGAACATTGCGCTGTTTAAGATCCAAGCTTATCCACATTTATTTTCTCTAGAACCGTCATTTCATTTTCAATTTCCGCGGCGGACATCACCAAGAATCAGTGATTCACTTCAAATGAAAAAAACTGCAGTATGGTCAATGTTATAAATACATTTTATTATAAAGATTTAAGGGGCTGTTCATTAACTACGTAGACAGTTTTTTGGGATTCTTGACCAATAAATGTTTTTTTTTAAATAATTACCTGCCGGTTCAGTAAGAGTTTGGGCCAGAGGTGGCAACAGTACATTTTTTTTTGCAAAACCATCGTCCAGAGCAAAAAAAAAACCGCCAGCGCACGGGCGGTCGTGTATTTCTACAATACAAACAAACGGCGGAGATAGAGAATAGGAAAAATGTCGTAGCGCATTATTTTTCAAACAGTTTATTGAAATTCCATTTTAGCTGCAAGCTTTCGTGTCACAGTAAATTATTAACTCCCTTATTTACGCATAATTTTAACATCTAAGCTTATGAGTGGTTAGTATTCGTTCTTAATTTATAATTCCATGCAGTAAACATCAAATAAATGCTGTAATTATCCAGAAATCAGCAAAATTCTACATGACATAAATTTTTGACGCACGCGCCACTGGTCTTGTCTGCTTCATTAGGTTTTGCACCGTCGGGGTTAACCTCAATATGATGACAGTTTAGTGGTACTGTTTACGTGGACTTAGCCGATTTTTTCTTGAGTGGATTTTCTCGATAATTTTTCAGACTGCAGTGAGATGTAAACCACATTTCTGCAATGTTCACGAGCAACATACTTGCAATGCGCTGTTCCTCGACAATTTTCAAGTTAAAATTCGGAAATATTAGATTTTTTTTTTCTTCGAAAAAAAAAACTAAGTGCTTGTAAACAGTACCACTGAACTGTCAAAAAGGTTCAGCCGATTAACACTGAGTTCATTCGTGACGTCACGCTGCAGTACCTAATTTTTTCTCGAGTGAGTGAACTCAAATCCATCGTTGCACTCGTCCATACCGGATCGATAACCCTAATGTTAGAACTATTCCACTAATGGTTTGGATGATACCCTGAACACGTCGTTAAGCAAAATAACCATGCAAATTTTATTAGGGTGGCATGGACAAGTTGCTTGCTAATTAGGTTTTGCACCGTCGGGGTTAACCTCAATCTGATGACAGTTCAGTGGTACTGTTTACGTGGACTTAGTCGATCTTTTCTTGGGTGGATTGTCTCGACAATTTTTCAGACTGCTGTGAGATGTAAACCACACTTCCGCAATGTCCACGACCAACATCCTTTCAACGCGCTGTTCCTTGACAATTTTCAAGTTGAAATTCGGAAATTTTAGAATATTGTTTTTCGAAAAAAACGACTAAGTGCTTGTAAACAGTACCACTGAACTGTCAGCCGATTAACACTGAGTTCATTTGTGACGTCACACTGTAGAACCTAATTAGGTACTGCAGCGTGACGTCACGAATGAACTCAGTGTTAATCGGCTGAACCTTTTTGACAGTTCAGTGGTACTGTTTACAAGCACTTAGTCGTTTTTTCGAAAAAAAAATATTTTAAAATTTCCGAATTTTAACATGAAAATTGTCGAGGAACAGCGCGTTGAAAGGATGTTGCTCGTGGACATTGCAGAAGTGTGATTTACATCTCACTCTAGTCTGAAAAATTATCGAGAAAATCCATCCAAGAAAAATTTGACTAAGTCCACGTAAACAGTACCACTGAACTGTCATTAGATTGAGGTTAACCCCGACGGTGCAAAACCTAATTAGGTTCTGCAGCGTGACGTCAAGAATGAACTCAGTTTTAATAGGCTGAACCTTTTTGACAGTTCAGTGGTACTGTTTACAAGCACTTAGTCGTTTTTTCTTAAAAAAATTTCTAAAATTTCCGAATTTTAACTTGAAAATTGTCGAGGAACAGCGCGTTGCAAGGATGTTGCCCGTGACCATTGCAGATATTTGGTTTACGTCTCACTGCAGTCTGAAAAATTATCGAGAAAATCCATCCAAGAAAAAATCGACTAAGTCCACTTAAACAGTACCACTAAACTGTCATCAGATTGAGGTTAACCCCGACGGTGCAAAACCTAATACACAATTTACAATTTTCAGAAAACTTGGCTCAAGCTACAGATGCGATACAACAAAAACGGATTGCAGTTAAACCACGAAAAATCCAAACTGATTCTGACGATGTTATCAGTCAATTGCCAACTAAGAGACCAAAAAGAGATAATAACTCACTACTTCATAAAACGGCGAAACATCTAAATGAAGACTATCTGACTGCATTTGTATCTATCAACCCATCTTCAACAAGCACCAATTTGTCAGAGAACTTGAAGGATCCGCTTCACTTGAGCCTAACACCATCAATGCAATCAAAAAAAACGTGCTCAATCCCTTCAAAATCGTTTGAAGACCGGGCAGTTGGCAAGAAAGCTCAGCAGTTGTCCAGTTCAATTCACTTTTCACCTTCGGATTCATTCTCGCTTCAATCAAACAGATCTAGGGCGATTTCCCCAATGCCACACGAAGAACTTGTCCAGTTGTCCAGTTCAAATAAAAACTGGGTGCACGCATCGACGAGACAAAGCCACATTTCACCGCAGGTAGTATTTATTTTATAATTGTTCAAATTTTCATATGATCTTAATGTTTATCACTATATACTAGATTGGCAGAACATCATCGCTTAAACCGATTACAGCTTGCCTTCAGTCGTCAACACCGTCACCTTCGGATTCGGTATTAAGTTCTGTGACTTCATCTTCAGATTCATCATTAAACACTGTACCGTGTACTCCAGAACACCGAGTGAACGTATCACGGCAACTTAACTATGGTCCACGGAAGGTAATGTTTATTTTGAAATTGTTTGAATCTTCTTAATTTATATTGTGTATACTACTCGTATAGCCCAGTCAGTAAATGCATGGTATTATTAAACCGGAGGCGGTGGGAACGATTTCCAGTTCTGCCTAGGAAATTTTCTCGACTTGTTCACTATCATTGTACTACCACACAATAATATAGAAAGCTCTCAATTAATAACTGTGGGACATACGACTTTACTGAATAGGCTATAAGACCCCAACTTGGTTGAACCCCTGCGAAAAATTATACAAAGTTTTATGGAATTAGAAGTAAAGTTAATTAGGCATTAAATGATATTGTTTTCAGCAGGGTATATATTTTTTTTTTATCATCTATAATTTACCGTTTTATTACCGTAATTACAAATCAATATAATAATAAACATGTCTAGCACACAATGCATACATAAGTGCGGCGCATAATGGGTACAAGTTGCGTTTGCGTTTTTTTGTTGTTATATCTTTATTAAGGAGACTTTCAGACCTGAGCTGGTTCGTCTCCGGATACCCCAGAAGGGGGCATCCCTAAGGGAGAGAAGGTATAGCGTTTGCGTTTGCGTGTATTTTACAGTTCAAGAGCAAATTTTCATTACGTCGAATGTAACAAAGGTAAACAAAGTCGAGCTATCAGTGTCAATCGATGCTCCTGCTATTACACTATATACTGTCCGAATATAGGATCACATCCCATTTTTAAATTTATTTAACAGTCAAATTGCTTTTTGACGTAATCACATTCCGATCAAAATAGTTTTCAATGTTACTTAAGTCACCCGATTTCTGTGGAGATGCCGTTTGCCAAGGTTCAATTTACTTTGATGCATTTTCGAAAAATTCAAAAGCAGTTTTTTTCGACGCATTCTTTCAGATTGCTAAAAGCTCGCGTCATTCTGTGTAGAATAGCAAAAGGAATCGAATAGTGCGAGCATTTTGCAATCTGGACTAATGCGTCGAAAAAAACTGCTCTTGAATTTTTCGAAAAAGCATCAAAGTAAATTGAACCTTGAGTAACAGCACTGAGAAACCCGTGAAAAGTGTACTTTCGTCGTTTCGCTTTCTCATTATTAAAGTGAATAAATCGAACTGTTTGTTGCTAAGATGATTTCGGTGGTCCTAAAATGATAAATGGGCTGCAAGTAAGGAGACGTAATTGATAATTCTCTCGAATATCCTGGTAAATAAACATTGACTTAAGTAACAATAGGGGCCACCAAACGACGTATAATAACTTTTGACTCAAAAACCAGTATTTCTTAGCATGAAAGCTAGCGATTTGCATTTGTATGATTAAAACCCGGCTAAATATGTTTAACATTGCTATCACTATGAGATTATATGTGTTTACTTGGAAATAGGAATAACTTTTCGGTCATCAAAACAAAACTTTATTTTCCTCGGATCGGTACGAATGTTACTTACGACATAATGAAAATTTGCTCTTGAGTTAACACATGGGTTATCTCCCGCATAAACGCGAACCATCACATGACCTTACCGATAATGGTTATAAATTGTTTATAATCCCTGCTAAACTTCAACTGAAATGGTTATGGAACTTTACATGAACGTTTGTGTGATAAAGTTTTAACCTTATGTATTATGGTTTTTTGGAAGCGGACCTTACAAATAATGGGTTGTTAAGAACACGCAGAAAAATGGATTTTTGTTTCAGGGCCTAATGTATTTTGTTATTGATTCAAACATATTGTATAACTATTTCAACAAAACATGTTTTTGAATCAACAAAATGGTTTTTAGAATCAACAAACAGATTATTGACTCTACAACCGGTTTGTTGATTCAAAAATATTTTTCTTTGAATTAACCGAATAATATATTTGAAACAATATCAAAAATATATTAGGCCCTGAGTCAAAAATATATCCATTTGAACTTAAAAACCATTTCTCTGCGTGAACTATTACCATTCCAAATTCTTGTTTTCTCCTTACATTTTCGGAAAGAGAACTATATTAGAACGTTTTTACTTATGGTTTGAGAACATTAATGGTTATGGTTATGGTAGTCAGTAAGGTCCATTAATGGTTTTGTATTATCGCTCAACTTTACGTGAAATATATCGTGAATTGGTAATCAGTAATTTACAGGTAACCAATTCGCGATATATTCCACATAAAGTTTATCGATGTTACAAAACCATTCATGGACCTTACTGGTTACCATAACCATTACCATTAATGTTCTCAAATCATAAGTTAAAAGGTTTTAGTATAGTTTTCTTTCCGAAAATGTATGGAGAAAAGAAGAATTTTGAATGGTAATGGTTCTTAACAACCCATTATTTGTAAGGTCCACTTCCAAAAAACTATAATACTTAAGGTTAAAACTTTATCATTAAACGTTCATGTAAAGTTCCATAACCATTTCAGTTGAAGTTTAGCAGGGATTATAAACAATTTTAACCATTTTAGGTAAGGTCAATTTATGGTTCGCGCTTATGCGGGTTGTCAAACTAATAACGAATTCGTTTATTATTCAGTTCCAACCTGGATCGGGTACCAAGATTGGGTCTGCTTGTTTTCTGACAAACGTCAGTTTGCTCGTTTGTTTTTAAAACCTAGCTCAGGTTGAGGTTCACACTGACAAAAGGTTCGGTTTCGCACTGGGTTGGAACTGGTGTTAACCCCGATAATAAACGAATTCGCTATAAATATCGTCAACGGAACGCAAAGGTATTCATTGTGCGCCGCACTTTAATTTACACTGTGTGCTAGACATGTTTATTATGATTTTGATTTGTAATTATCAATTCGGATCATTTCTAGCTTCCACGTGTTTCCGGGATTGTCGGTGAAGTCAACAATGGCTGGCCACAAGAACTTCAAAACGAACAGTCTGCTACAGGCCGCCAAAGCCGGACGCCATCATCGCGGTCCATCACCTTGGCTGAAGAATCTCCGCAGGTAAAATTATCGTCGAGTCACTAAAACTCAGGATTAAAGCAACTTTTCACGGATGATAATGATAATACCATAATACTGCTTTAATTCGGTTGTTTTTTAAACAACCGATATGATTTTTGAATGTGGTTAATCTAGGGTGGGCACTAATTACAAAGGTGGTATCATATTTCCCGGAGTGACATTTCGCAGAATGCATTTTCACTGTACACTGTTTCACTGAATACAAAGAAGGGAAATACTCAATTCTTTATTAAAATATTCTTAAAATGAAATATTTCCATCTTTACCAAAGTATTGAATATTTCCTTCTATATTAAAATGTTCAAAGAATGAAGCATTCTTTTCCTTATTTTTTTTTTTATTATTTAAAGGAGGAAATATTACCTTCCATATTCAAATATCTTCTTCCTTTCAAAGTATTGAAAGAAAACAAAATTCCATTCTATTAAAATATTCAACGAAGGAAATAATATTTTCTTCGCAATAAAAAAATAAAAGAAGAAAATACCCTCCCGTAGGCCATTCTTAAGGCCGGCGCACAATGCATAAGTTTTCGGGTTTTTTTGACAGATAATGCATGAGCTAACTGTTAAAAAAAACCTGAAAACGTATCTATTGTGCGCCGGCCTTTAAGCACCTTGTCGAAGGTGGAAAGGCTTAAGGTCCAAGCGCAATGACAGCGGAAGCGGAACGGCAGCGGGAAAGTCCGATCTGAGTAAGCCTACTTGTCGGATTGAAAACTAGTTAGAAACAAATCGACATCGGTTGGGTTTCTGGATGTCATTTGTGACAACTGTCAAACTTTCCGTTTCCGTTCCGCTTCCGTCCACATTACGTTTGGGCCATTAATCTCATGCTGTAAGATTGCATGGGAAACCAAGACAGTGGCCTAAAGTGATGGTATCACACATTCTTTTCATTCATTTATTAGCCACGTTGTATTACCTACGTTTATATAAGGCAGGTGTGATGCCAGCGGGTTTTGCCGCAATTCACGCTTAAATTCAACGTTAAAAACGCAACGTCAAGGTTAAAAATGTAAAAAAAAATTAGGTTAAACATCTAAAAAGTGCATTTTTCAATTGCGTGGCGTACTTTCATTGTTTTTCATTAAATAATTAGCAATTAATGCATAACCGAAAATACCTATATTGCAGTTGGTATCATAAATAATTTATGCATTGCTTCATTTTCGAAAAGGGTGAATACTTCTGTTATGGCTCTGCGTCCTGTTATGTGTTCGGTTGTGGTATTTGGGAATACCATTTACCATGACAGGGTCCGTTGGGATGGAGTCAGGTGGCCGTGATATAACTATTGACCCTATATAAAATATACTTTAAATAGGAGACTAATCTCGGAATGAAGCATTTTATCACAGAAAAGTGTTACTTAAGACGGACGAAGACAAGATAAATTTTGCGGATCAATGTAGAAAGGAAGCATAATAAAGAGACAGAGAGAAATCGAGAGAGAAATACATATTACTTTTAGGCTGATCTCGTAGGAAGAATAGGTTGCGGGTGGTCCGCATAGGTTGGCAATTATGCCTTAACTATAAAGAATAAATCTCCCCATTTAGTTTATTTGTAGTTATAAGCAATAGTGGAAGTTGTTATTTCAACCAATACAAATATTAATCAGATCTTCGATGTTTGCTAACAAGTGAAAAATAGGGAAGAAATAAAATTTAATAAGTAATGATTGCATGAGGCTGATCAGGAACTTTTTGATTTTGTGTTCAGATTGTTATGCAATTATCAGTATCTGGTAGGGGGATATTGTAGCTTCTCACAGGTATTAGCTTGAGTTGGGTTTGATTAGATCAGAATATACCCTGCATTATTATTTGTGCCGATAAGCATAAATTGCATAGGAGGGAACTTTGTTTAATTTAGAATAAATACTGTTTGAAATTATCGAGAACAAAGTTTAAAAACCTCAAAAGTTTAAATCAAATTTGGAAGTTATAAGATAGTATGCATAACTTTACATAGCTGAACTAAAAAAAATAATAATAGGTTTTATTGCAGTAGGTTTTCGGTGGGGCGGGTATATTATTTAATGACCATTATCGAGCTTTTGTGCCTACTAACTAAAATGTTGTAAATATTAATTTCTTTTAATAGAATCAAGAATCTTATTATTCTCTTCAGTAATCGTGGGACTGGGAGCGTATCTTTGTTGTTCATTGCATACCAAGTGGATACCCTAATAAAAATTGTATGGTTAATTTGCTTAACGACGTGTTCTGGGTATCATCCAAACCATTTGTGGAATAGTTCAATGATTTGGGTTGTCGTTCGTTTATGGTTATTTTTTATTAGGGAACCTAATCATATTTTGCCGTGGCTTTGAGATGCTCGATGGCCCTGGAGGAATTGTTTTTGCTTACCGAGCAGAAAATCATGGGTTTGAACCCAAGCTCTCCCACAACAGAATAAACCGCCATCGCCGGGTTTCGAGAGCCTAAAGCGCCGTAATAACCAATCTTATATTGCCCCACCAAACGCTGCAAAATGAAAATGAAAATGAAATAAAAAAATACAAGAAGAAAATATTCCATTCTTTATCAAAGAAATCCAAGAATGAAATACAAAACAACTGACTAAAATCGGTATGTGTAACTTTGTTCCTGTCGCGTTCTTCGAGGGATTACTGTATTAATGCCCGATTATATTTTCTATTTTCTTAATTCAAATTTTTACTCATTTCTAGCTTCCAAGCGTTTCCGGGATTGTCGGTAAAGTCAACAATGACCGGTCACAACTTCAAAACGAACACACTGATACAGGCCGCCATAACCGGAAACCATCATCGCGGTACATCACCGTGGCAGAAGAATCACTACAGGTAAAATTATCGTCGAGTAGGGTAACGTAACCTATTCTCGGCCTATGGTCCTATTTTGGGCCTAACGCTAAAACTCAGGGCAACTTTTCACTGATAATAATGATATACAATTTATTCTGTTCCATTTAAGCTGACAAATCAGGCAGAAGTTACTTCAATCTAGAGTTTAAGCATTAGGCTACACAATAGGAGCTTAAGCTGATAATAGGTTCCATTACCCTAGTTTATACAGATTGAACCCCTGAAGATATAAAGCTATAGCCATAACCGTCATTTACCCTATAAGCCGAGCCGTATATCAAGATTCTCACAATTTGTTCGTTTAATTAATATTGCATATTGTATTCCTCCGAAGAACGTGGTAGGAACAAAGTTAAACCCACTGCCTTAATTCGGCTGTTTTCTCATAACAATAGATATTATTTTTGATGTCTAGGGTGCATACTAATCACTTAGCACTAATTACAAAACAACCGAATTAAAGCGGTGGGTGTAACTTTGTCCCTACCGCGTTCTGTGGAGGAATACAGTAAATTAATGTTCGATTGCATTTTACATTTTCCTAATATACATTTTTACTTAACTTTTATCGTTTCTAGCTTCCGAGCGTTTCCGGGATTGTCGATAAAGTCAACAATGGCCGTCCACAAGAACTTCAAAACGAACACATCGCTACAGGATGTCAAAGCCGGACACCATCACCGCTGGCCTTCACCGTGGGTGTAGAATCTCCACAGGTAAAAGTATCATCCAGTAGTTTATACAAATTCTTAACACAGAATTACGACCAACTCAATGTTTAAGGTTCAATTTACTTTGATGCATTTTTTTAAAACTCAAAAGCAGTTTTTTTCGACGCATTATTTTAGATTGCAAAAAGCTCGCGTCATTTTGTGTAAAATATCAAAAGGAATCGAATAGTGCGAGCTTTTTGCAATCTGAAATAATGCATCGGAAAAAAACTGCTTTTGAAATTTTCCAAAAAGCATCAAAGTAAATTGAACCTTAATGCATTGTAAACATGCTTGATTCCCATATTCGTGATCCGTTCATGGTGTACATTTCCTCCTACCTGCGGACCGTGAACTATTGCCGTTCATGAATATGAAATTTGTTTTTATGCGTGAACTGACGGCTTCGGTAATATCTGAACCTATATCGTCAGTCTGGGTGGGAGTTGGTCTGTTCGGAGATAAACAAATATTTGAGCGCTTAATTTTGGCCAATCGAGCCACTGGTTATAAAATCGGAAAAACAACTTATTATAATTAAATAATTGCTGCACGCCTGAACAAATGACTTATATAGGAAAAAGCGAGAGAAAAACTTTCATAAATCGATTTTACACCTGTGCAGAATAGTGTATGTTGGGGTTTTAGGCGATTTTCGGTTAAAACCACAAATGTTGAAGAACTCAAAACATTGTATCGTGATGATTAAAATAAACCTCATTTGGTTTTTAATAGTAAAGCATCAAAGGAATCCAATAAATTGACCTGTTTTCTCCCAATTTTCAAATCCTAAAAATAGAAATTCATGTTTCCAAAGAGATTATATTATTAAATAAAGTTATTCTTGGATAAATTCTAAGAAACTCATAGGAATGGTTTAGTTTCATCATAACGATTAAAGAAATAGAAAGTGTTTTATTTTTAAATAAAGGATTTTGCAACAAAATCCACCTAAATCTCAACTTGCACTATTCTGCCCAAGATGAAACACAATCCAATTGATTTTTTAGGCTTTTTCCTATAAGAATTACTTTATTTAAGTCATTGATTTCAGCACGCAGCGAAGTTATTGTTTTTGTGATATTATCTCCATGAGCTTTGATACATGATGTACCGCATGCAAAGGAAAATAGCCTACATGGACTTTTTTCACCCCATGTCGACAATAGTCCCATATGCCGTGTATCGAATATATTCTTCGAATTATACTTATTTGTAAATTGATCAATTTACAAATAAGTATAATTCAAATATATTTTTTATTTTCGTTGTAGATTCGTTTTCGTGCTTCGAACACCCATGAAGAATTCGTACCAGAAACAGGATCGCTAGAAAGAGGTAATTTCTGAAAATGTTTTTTTACTGCTCAATAGGGAAAAGTGGGGTAGTTTCGCCAACTTAAGAAAATCATCATCAATCACACAAAATTCGAATGATGTTAAACATAATGGATAGTTTCAAGCCCTATTTACATCATGAATACAAATTGGGCTAAAACTGTTTGCATTTATGTATAAAACTAGGTGCAAATAATTTTCTTCCATAAAAGCACTGTTGGCCAGTGGGCAGATTGTAGACACACACACACATGAATACAAATTGAATATAAAATGTAAACTTTTGAATATTAAGAAAGAAGATTAAAAAATGTTCGGTTTGTAACCGAAATTAAACCGTTGGGGTAAAGTGAGCACTCTGTCGGGATGGTATGAACGATGGAATATCAACGATAAGTTATTTTCTGATTCAGAAATCTTATAACATTTTTGACATTTTGAGCTAGTCTAACATTTTTTGAATATTTGCACTAGAGAAAAGTAATTTTTGGTATGAAGTTTTGGTTGCTCTTGAAAATTAATAACACCGTGTTTGTGTAAAGGTCATTTATTCAACTTTCTAGGCCATTTAGTCATCTTTGAGGCTGTTTTTTTTAGATTTTTTGACGATTTTAAAGCTCTCTATGCGTTGAATAGCTGTTTTGGAGATTTGAGGTATTTTTTTGCATTTTTAAAGCTTTACTGGTGTTTGTAGCAATTATGTTTTTTTTTTGTGTTCCATTTTGACGTATGTTTCTTATGGATTTTTATCTACTATAGGGCAAATGGATGTAATGTCGTCCTAAATACCCCTAATTTGGGCCCTTACATAAATTCAATAATCGACTAAATTTTCAATAGCGACCAAAAATATCCATCAGTACCGTCCCAATGACGGTTTTATCTAAATAAAATTTATAAATAGCAGATTTTTAGCGATGGGCCCAATCTTAGATCCATATGCCAACATTAGAGCCATTTCCCCTAAATTATATACAGGGAATCCGAACTAATGGTTTGTTTGTTTATTCGCCAACAGATAATTGCAAGAACTGCCAAAAAGTAAAAAAACGATTGGAGAATGCTGAAACCAGAATCCATGTACTAACCGAACTAAATTTGAATCTGCAGATGGAAAAAGTAAAATTAATGGCTCAGAACAAGGAGAAAGCACCGGTAAGTTGATGCTAGGAATTAAATCGACATTAGATAATAAGTAGGGTCATGTTATTTGTTTAGCAGGCTTTAAAAGAACGCATCACTTCCCAATGTGAATCCATATCTAATTTACCCTTCCCACTAACAAAAACGTCTTTCCCGTGATAACCGTGGAGATGCAGAGGTATACTCGGTCTCTAGTAACAACGGTTGTTCAAATAACAATCCTTTCCCTCCCCGATGACCGTAAGGACGTGGCCGGCGCCGTTATTGACCTCAAAAATAAGAATTCTCCGGATTTTGTACACTGAGAATGGATTGCTAGTCACAAGCCCCGTTCATTCATTCATTTGTGCAAATTTCGCTGAATCTGGTCAATCACGGAGTAGCAACTACTGAAATGTATGGTCATCAATGCTCAAGCTCGCAATTGTTACCAGACGTCTCCAATGATCCGAGGTACACAAAATCATCCACCACCTTGAACTCATCTCCGTTGATTGTCACATTTCTGTCTTTGCGAGCCTTATCGCGCTTGTTTCCTTCAGCTAACAAATACTTTGTCTTCGACATATTCATCTTTAATCCCACCTTATAACTTTATCCAACCTTACAAAGGTATAAGATGAAAAGGTTTATAATAAATTTCACTTATTATGGTGAAGTGCGGACAAAGTGTGGGTAGACTATACTTCAAAATATTGTTCAGTATTAACGAGGGGGACGACTCTATCTACGATGCAGGAAATATTGTGTTTTACTGTGGCTAGCTGCGCGTACGCAGATAGATAGTGTAGATAGAAAGAAGATTTATCACGATTTTGAAGATTTCCTGCAAAAAGATGATGTGCGCTGCAAGTAGAAGATTTTTCGAAGATTTATTCGCTAGTGTTAGATTTTTTGAGCATCTAGAATTGAGTTTATGTGTCGCCCCCTCGAGTATTAAAGGGGTGGGAAATGTCTTTCCCAACCGCTCAAACCAAATTTATTTTAATTTATTTCATTTGCTTAATTTTTGCATGCACAACTTATTTGTAATGTTGTTTATTATATATTTGCAGTTCGTGAATAGTGTAGAAGAGTGGTAAACCCCAGAAATTGTCTTGAGAACACACATCGAAAGCCCCGCAGGATCGGAAGGGGACGGCCGATTCATTTCCGCTTTGGCAGATCACTTGTGGAACAGAGAGCAACTACAGGAGCGATCCGTGAAGGGGAAGATGTGTAATTTGCATCCAAAAAGTGGAACAAAGAAACCGGCAACGCCGTCCAAAGTAGCATTTATACTTGAGAAATTGGTTCAGCGGGTCGATATAGAGGGAGACCTGGAGCCAAAACGCAAGATCCCGTCCCGGGTATCTAGAAAACTTAATGAGAAAATGGCGAATGCACGCCGCAAGACGGTTGGCAAATAAACTCGAATCCTGATGAATGTGGGCGTCTTAGTGGAATACCTGTATTGTATAATGAGAGAGAGAAGGATTAGTATTTTCCATTAAATTCAACTACTTTATTTGTTTATCCTTGATAAATACGCGTATTTCGTCTACAATGTGCAGACTTCTTCAGTGTCTTGTACTAATACTCGACTGAAGAAAAACATCGCATTTACCGAATATATATTAACACAGGTACAACGAGTAAGCAGCGGAGTACCTACTCCTATAGAAAATTAAATTTAAGTTTACCTAGTTTCTAAGTGAAAATGTACCTGTGTTAATATATATTCGGTAAATGCGATGTTTTTCTTCTGTCGAGTATTAGTACAAGACACTGAAGAAATCTGCACATTGTAGACGAAATACGCGTATCTGTCAAGGATAAGCAAATAAAGTAGTGGAATTAACTGGAAAATACTAATCCTTCTCTCTCTTATTATAAATAAACTCGTCTAGCTCAGAGTTGATTATAGAAGAGTTGCGCAGACTGAAACCAAAATCTACCTATCGAACTGTCAAACCGTCTACCAATCGAGCATATAGACAAGCTGACTCTGTTGCGTGGGAAGTATTGTTATCGAAACTAGAGAAAATTTCACAACCCAGGTGAAGTCATCCGAGGTGTAAACAAAAACAAAGGTTGACAAAATAATAAAAATGCCCATTGATCTACATCAGTGTTGCAAGCTTCACTCTGCGTAACTCTTCTATTATCAACTCTGATTTAGCTATCAGATATTCAATAGAAATCTATATATATATAAAAATGAATTTCAGTCTGTCTGTCTGTCTGACCCTTATAGACTCGGAAACTACTGAACCGATCGGCGTGAAAATTTGTATACAGGGGTTTTTGGGGCTGGGAATGGTTCTTATGATGGTTTGAGACCCGCCCTCTGTAAGGGGGGCTCCCATACAAATGAAACTGAAATGTCTGCATAGCTCGAGAACTAATCAAGCAAATGGAACCAAATTTGGCATGTGGAGGTATAAGAAGAAGGTCATAGGGGGTAGCCCCTTAGGTAAGAGTGGGGCTATGCTAGTGTAATAGGGAAAATTCAGGTCATTTAGAAGATCAAATTGAAAAATCAGGTAATAATAAAACGTCTCGTTTATGCGTCGATTTTATAAAGCATTAGATTTAAAAACTTGGTCTTGTAAACACTTCACACAATTGTCCGGTAGATCGCTAAAAAATGCTGCAACAATCGTCAAGCTCGCTGTAATGTCACCAAGTGCCTCGTCACCCACGAATTGGCGCCTATGTCAGTGGTCTAATAACTCTTAGCGCGCTAATGGCATAGTTCCCCTGCCGCATAGAGAGTTGCCGCAATGATATTAGGTTAGCTAAGGTCAGTTAACTGACTGGTGGGAAACGGGAGCTTAAGCAATGACTATCATGTACGCATTTTTATGATGTTATCTAACAACAATGGTGTGTAGTGTTTACACGATCATGTTTCTAATTATAATGTGTTGTATTATCGTTCCAATTGAACATCGAAAAACACCACACGTGACTATCGATTTTAATTTCATAACGTCGTACATAGTGCGATCTGAAAACATCAGTGAACAACAACCACGAGGCACAATTGAAAACATCCTAACAACGTTTCGTTGTAACGTTTTGTACACCTGAAAACATCCTAAAAACTTTTGGTTCTAGTAACGGGAATTATCTACATAAGAAAACATCACAATACATATACATATAGAAACATTCGAACAACGTTTGGTTCTTACGTTTTGTACATCCGAAAACATCCCTAAAACATTTGGTTCTAACATCTACATTAGAAAACATCACATCACATTATCTACATTAGAAAACATCAGAATACATTTACATATAAAAACATCCGAACAACGTTTAGTTCTAACGTTTTTTACATCCGAAAACAACCAAAAAACGTTTGATTCTAACATCAGGAAACCTCTACATTAGAAAACATCAGAAAACGTTTACATATAAAAACATCCGAAAAACGTTTAGTTCTAACGTTTTTTACATCTGAAAACATCCAAAAACGTTTGTTTCTAACATCAGGAAACATCTACATTAGAAAACATCAGAAAACGTTTACATTTAAAAACATCCGAACAACGTTTAGTTCTAACGTTTTTTACATCTGAAAACATCCTTAAAACGTTTGGTTCTAATGTCAATAGATTGAAATTTTTGACGTCAGACCGACATTAGAATGGCAAAATTTTGTTCCAAAATTTCTGATGTATACACCATGTTACGTTGCTTAAATACAACTAAATCATAATGTTTTCTAATGTTTGACATCAGGCATACATTTGATTTCGATGCTGATGTAGACATCAGAATCAAACGTTGGGCTAATGTAAATTTCTATTCGGGTTGCAACGTATGCCCAGCGGTACACGGGAAACTTCCATCATCAGATCCGGACACCATTGCATATCTCCTGGGATCCTGGAAAATCAAAATTTCAATATATTTTTTTTAATTTCCTTATGAGCAATGTAAACTTACCACATTGTATAGTCCGTTATTAAGTTATTCTAATTTTTCCGAACAACATTAACTAAGATCTGTTGCTTCCGCCAGGCGACAAAAAAAAAACAAACCAAAATGCGAATGGCGCACGCGTGATTTTTCATCCAAATCCAAGTGCAATCGCAACACTTGATTTTGGATACATTCATAGCGTGGAAAATGAAACAACTCAAAATCGAGATGAAACGTCCGCAAAAATAAGAACTCTCTCAAGACTACTGTTTGAGTACAATTAACGAAGAGCGAGAGTTATTGTTGTACTTCAAGATTAAGTTTAAAGTACTCATCAATGAAAACAAAATTGTATCCAAAACAGTAGTGCTAGAGAAGTACTTATTTTTAAGTTTTTTTTTTTTTTTTTTTCTTTATTTTAGAGATTTTTAGCCTGAGGCTAGTTCATCTCTTAATTATTTTTAAGTACTTTTCATCTCGATTTTGAGTAATATCGTCTTTCCGTGTAGGGCAGAGCGGCAGCGCTTAAAGCCCTCTAGTCAAAGTATGGACGTCTGTCAAAAGTAGTTCCAATGAACTGTCTAAATACACTGCGTTGCTCGATTGCAACAACTTTTTTTCAGTTTTTTGGTGACAGTCGTCCACACTTTTACTAGAGTGCTTTAGCAGCGCTGGGTTAAGGCTGGCGCACAATGGATAAGTTTTCGGGTTTTTTGACAGAGTTGGGCGATTTTTCTCTCCTTTGGTAATTTAGGCGTTTTGTTTTTTTAAACGCCTTTAAAAAAAAATTTTAATGAATAAAAAATCGATATCATCTTTGAAAAATCGATTCTGTCAAATATCGAACAGAAAAAGATCGGATGAAAAAAATCGATTTTTCGTGGCCAAAAAATCGATTCTGTAAAAATCGCATCGACATCGCCCATTTCTAAGTCGTAGCAACCGTTTTGTCTGTATCGTTCGTTGCTTTATGTGTTTGGATTCGCTGGACGTAACTGTTTTTAGATAAACAGTCTTAACTGGCTTGACGTATCACACAACATAAATGTCAAAACGACGAATCTGAGGGAGCGTAAGTAATAGTTGCGAAAGCAAAAGGGCGATTGAAGATTATTTCATTAAAGCGCGTCAAAATAATGTTTAGCATGTGGAAACGATATTGGAATTCTACCAGTATTTTTAAAATGAGGTTTAAACATTTCCGCATGAAACATCAAACCCGTTTTGCTCGGTTCGTGTCAAAAGTCACTTACGTCCATTTGAAAAAGTACTAGAGAATTCCACAAAATTGCGCTTCAATTTTCTCGCCGTTCAACCGCTCCGCAATTACCCCTGTTGAACGTAAAGGCCCCTACATCAATCGAATGACATCAACTGCCGCCCGGCAAATGTACATCACCCAAACAAAACAAACCAACAAATTAATTCACTCTCGATGCGCTGTCTCACACATACCAACTTCCATTCCAAGCTCTCAGCAAAAACCATTATTTTTTTCTATAACCATAGGAGAGCCAAAAGCAACGCGCATGCTCTCTTCCTCTTCCTTTTTCGCATGCTGAAACCAAACAATGGGGGAAATGGATTTTCCTCCCGACACCACCCTACTTCATTCGAACGGGGCATTAGTCTGTGTGGGTGAGTGAGCGGTAACCAAAGGCACTCACTTTATTCCAAATCAAAAGTCCGTCCATAAACGGTGCCTACCATAGGCTAGACAGTTTTTTCCCAAACATAACCGATTTATTGTTAACTTCTATTGGCTTATAAATTTTTGGAAATTGATTACCTAAATTCCAATTTACGGACGGACCCTCGTCCAATCACTCATGCAATTCACCACATCGCCGTCGTCGTCGTTGGATCACGCTTTCTTCAGTTCGTTGTTTTCCGGCGACGCGTGTGGAAGTGTTCTAATCCGTGGTTAGCGTGCTTTTCGTTGCCCACTTTGCTGGTGAAATTATAAAGATAGATTTTTCTCTTTCCCGTCTCTGTCTGCATCGACTATACATATATGTACTAGCGACAGCAACAGCAACAGCAACAGCGCAGCCAAAATCCGTAGACAGTATACCAGTGAATTACTCTGCCAAGTGTGGGGTCGAAAAAGTGAACTTTTCATCGTGGTCCAAGTGAATAGTGTTTAAATTCAAAGTGATAATCTGCATTTTTTCCCCGTTGAGGAAAAGAAAGTCGCAAAGTCTAAGGTGAAGAAGAGTCGCATTGAAATGTAATGGAGATACAAAGTTGCAGTGAATGAAGCAATTATAATTGTGTGAAAATTTTATAATCACTGCATAAAAGGAAAAAAAGAAAGATCGCTGGGTTTAGTTAAAGTGTGGATTAGTGAACGGGGTGGGAAAAGATGCGATTTATGAGAGAAAAAAGTTCATCCAGAAACCATACGAAACATGTGGAATCGATATGATGTACAGACGGGCAGTGGATTATTGTGGTTCAGGATCAAGTGAAAAAGACGAAACCATTGAACGGCCAAAACGAGGCACCCAAGAACAGAGCATTGATCCCACCCTATCTCTGATTCTGTTGCCAATTATTTTATTAACAGCCCACCGCCCATCAGAGCAACTACTGCACGCGGCTGCAAAACAGTTTCGCTCGGAATCTTCCCCTCTTCACGTTCTACCTACTGACTGACAATCCGGAATTATTATGCTACAGCACAGGCCGCTGCTTCCCCCAGCAGACGACGTGGATGGAAGTTGAATGATGAAAAAAAAGAACTACACCCAATGTTGGTTACGCTCCCGTGACTTTTCTGCAAAGCACAACCGTAGCAACGTTTTCTCCGGCACCACATTATCATAAAATAGTTTGCACCTCCCGTTCCTTGTTAATTGAACCCATGTGAAAAATAGACTCTCAACACCACTACCCTGGCTGACTGACTGGTGCCTAACCGTAGGTACGCAGAACATTGCTTCCGGAAAAGTATCTACGTGATAATCTTGAATGCAAGTCATTCCACTTCAGAGTCTAAAGCATTTTCGATATTTGAATTTGTTTTTTCATAAAAAATTAAACGAGGGTGCATTTTCAATCCCTTCGCATTTCAATGTGCAAATACAAGCTCGCTGTGCTGTAGTGCAATAAGTCTGTTAGTACACGGTTAAAAATATATACTTAATTTTAAGTGACTTTCACCCAACTCGGTGCTTGCGTGGGACAAGCCAAAATTAAGATAACTTTAGATACTCAAGTTTGGGTAATTTCGATCTGGGATTCAATGGGTGAAAACAACTTACTTGATTATCGAACGAAATAGGTGAAATTTACCCAACGTCGTGAGAAGAAAAATGCCAGAAGGTTAGCAATGAAATAGTTTTAATTTTTTTTTTTTAATTTAAGACCAAACGAAATTGTGGAAACGAACGTATAATTTAATGCATTTATTAAAAAATCAACCTAGACAGTACCTCAGATGCACTGATGCAGATCTCTCCCTCTTCTCGGAATAGTTCAGCAAACTTGGTTTGAAAAAAATGGTTGTGGTGTAGTCTTCTCACTTCTCTGGCACGACCTCGGGCACGAATACTGCTCAATGTCCAAAGTTGTATGAATCCGTAGGACATTTTGATGTGCACCAACCACTTGTTGGCATCTGTGAAGATCTTCAATTGGCTAGTCGAAACGAATACTGGTCCCGTCTAGACCGGGCGAAATCTGTCACGTCTGGATGTTCAGCCAATTAGCGGTGTTATCTGTCGGGTATTTTCGGACTATTCGATCATTATCGAGAGCTCTCCGGATCGATACAACCTAATAAATTTGGGAGTATTCACATTACAAAAAAGTAGAAGGGTCTGTGCCTAGGGGCACGAACGGAAGCTTGACGTAGGACCGCTAGTGGACGGAATAAATGTGAAGCGCATTTAGTTCTTTTAATTGATCAATTATCTATTATCTCAACTCTTTCCGTTTTTGAATTGTAGGCGTACCAAATTTGTAGTATTTTTTTTCAAAGAGAAAGTTGATTAAGAGAATCAATCAAAATCACTTGCACCCCTGCTTCCAAGTTTGGTTACAATACTAAAACTCTGGAGAGCATTTTGTGTGGTCGTTGGGGGCTTGTGGTTCTGAATATGGACAAACAAGCTCAGATAAATTCTATTCCAACTCTTTACTGATGTAAGCTTGATGGTAAGCACGTTTTATTGAAGAGGACATCCATGGCCACTTATGCTTGGCGTGTTTAGTGTAGGTGATAGCATCACGGACCTCATTTTCCAGGAACACCTTCAGCACACCTCGTAGATCAGACCGCAGATACGTTTGACACCACCACGGCGAGACAGCCGACCCGATGGCGGTTATCTTGAAGAACTTTGCGATGACACTTGGCGCCTCCTTTACCAAGACCTTTTACTCATTTGCCACGACTAGTCAATTGTTGCTTGTTAGGTGTGAAGGAGTGGACTAGCCACCACCTCCGAAGCGAAAATGAGCTAATGCCATTTTTACATTTACATTAAATTTATTTTTATTCAGTTGTTTTGTTTTACCATAGTTTTACAATGTAGGTGATCAACATTTGTTATTCATTCTTTACTAAAATTACTGAAAGCCATTGGCTAATTTTTGCTAATTGGTATTTATTATTTTACAGTGTGAACATATGATATATTTTAAAATTTAAATTTCCTATCTAACTACATTAAATCTTAACTAAACCAAGTATTTACAAAATTATGGGTAAAGATTTCTAATTTTTTCGTACTCTGAATTTAAAGTCTGGTCGATTTGATCGAGATTAGCCAGCCGATGAACGTCGGCTATCCGTGTGCGCGGAGGCAGATTCAGAATCATCTTCAGGAACTTGTTCTGCAGGACTTGGAGCTTCTTCCGATGTGTTTTAGCACAACCCTTCCATACTGGAGACCCATACTCCAGCATAGGCGCAACAATCTGCCTGTTGACGGTGGATGCTTTCGAGCGACGGTTGATGATCGGATACAGACGTTTCAGCATGATGGTGCCTTTTTTGACTCGGTCTTCCACGAGCGACCGGAAGAGGAGCTTACTGTCGAGAATCAGGCCAAGGTAGCGTACTTCGGGTGACGACTCAGTTTCAGCGTTCAGAACCTTTATCTTTGATGACGATTTGAGCCGGTCGGTTCCGCATAGCAGGAAACACAATGGTTTGCGTTTTGGCCGCGTTCACACATATCTTCCAGTCGGTGAGATATATGGTGTAGGCATCCAATCCGTTTTGGAGCTTCGATACGAGAGTGCACATTACTCGTCCCTTGTAGCTGATTGCCGAATCGTCAGCAAACAGCGACAGTGTTCCACCTTGCGGCAGTGTCGGTATGTCCGATGTGTACAGATTGTACAATATGGGTCCCAGGATGCTTCCTTGAGGGACACCAGCGGGTACATCATACGGTTCCGAGAGAGCACTGCCTACGCATACTTGAGACGTCCTGCCGTCGAGGTAGTCTGAGATGATCTTCACCAAGTAGCTGGGGCAACGAAATTGCAGAAGCTTGTGCACCAAGCCATCGTTCCACACGTTATCGAATGCCTTTTCGATGTCCAGTATCGCCATGACCGTTGTCTTCAAGACCGACTTTGCCTGATTGATGAGGTTTGAGACAAGCTTGAGTTGGTCCACCGTCAAGTGACCTCGTCGGAATCCAAATTGCTCGTCCAGTAGGATGTCGTTCGCCTCGGTGTGCTCGAGGAGTCTGGCGTAAATGAGTTTTTCAAACAACTTGCTAAGCGAGGAAAGTAAACTGATCGGACGGTAGCTTGACGGGTTGGTAGGATCCTTTCCCGGCTTCGGTATCGGTACCACCTTGTACCGTTTCCAGGTAGCTGGGAAGTGTCCAAGCTCCAGACAGCGATTGAAGACGTTCACCAGAAGAGTATGCGCTTTCGGTCCCAAATTCTTCAGGACAATGTTGAAGAGTCCGTCGAAACCCGGTGCCTTCATGTTCTTCGTCGACTTGATGGTGTTCACCAGCTCATCAAGTGTGATTTTCCGGAAGCTCGCTAGGCTCAGTAGCTAGCTGGTAGACGCTCTCAAGCACCGGACCCTCCATCGGGCTGACAATATCTCGACCCAGATTATGCGAAGCCATAAAATGTTGAGAAATGGAGTTCGCCTTTTCGACGGCTGTTATGTGAACCTCATATCAACTCTAAGAGGCGGCATGGGCTTTGGTTTGTTTTTAAGCACTTTTGTTAAACGCCAGAAGGGCCTAGAGTAATTTGGTAAACTACTAAGGTCTTTTGCAAACTGCCTGTTCCTAAGTTTTTCTAGCCTAATGGCAATAATTTTGTTTAATTTATTATATAAAACTTTCCTACTAACGTTTTGCGTTCTTTGGAACTGCCTCCTAACACAATTCCTAAGAGGAATTATACGCTTGGTCTCATCATCAAGGTTGGTAAACTTACATGTCACCGGGGTTGTCGGGATGAACCGTTGTTCCGCTTCGCCTATGTCATCGGAGAGCGCTTGCAGCACGCCGTCGATTTCTTCCGTCGTCGTTAACGCAGGATTTTCGACCACTCGATCCTCCATAAGCCGCTGGAGTTGAAGCCAGTTCGCTCGATGATAGTTTCGCCTACGATGCTGCTGACGTTGGTTGATGGTTTGATTCATCTCGAAAACCACCCACCGGTAGGTGGTCGGATGACAGACCGGTAATGGCACGGGGCTCAGAGCAACCATCCGCCATGTTGGTGAGAACGATGTCGAGGGTGGATCCGACACCGGCTGGTGAGTAGAAGGTAGGCGAGTCCGGATGGAGGACCACGTCCCGCCTGCAGGTCCGTGGCCAGCACTGCTCCGTTCTTGTTACTTCTTGCATTGCCCCACAGCGAGTGGCGTGCGTTGAGATCACCGGCGAGGATAAACTTACCCTTCCGACGAGTCAACTTCTGGATTTCATTCTTGAGACGATCGATTGTTCCATCCGACTCCTTACATTGGGCAGGACAGTAGATGGCAATGAGTGTGATGAGACCATCCGACGATGCCAGCTCGACTCCAATGGCTTCCACGAACGATAGACGAAAGTCAGGCAGCATCCTGTACTCCAGTCCTCTCCTGATGGCAATGGCAACGCCACCACCTCTCTGTGCTCGAACTCGGTCCAGTCTAGCAATTGTGTGAATTGGCAGGCTAAAGTTGACCTCCGACTTGAGATACGTCTCGGTTAGAAACGCGACATCGATG